TCAAAGTTTAGATCTAATAAGACTCTCTCCCTCTTGGGAGATTACATTCGAATTATGACTCTAGACTCTTGTATCCGAGTTGGGCTTCTCTGCTACTTGGGTTGCTTCCAGGTTCTTCTGCGAGTTGGGCTTCAGCTGTTAAATGGGCCTGCCTACGAACTTGCTCCGACTTTGGGCCCGGTTTCATACTTGATGCGGACTGAATCAGTCAAAACCCAAAACATAAAAGTTGTGGGCCTTTCTTTCTTCTTTCTAATGCTTCTTGAATTGCCCAATTCGGAGTCCGGAATTGTGAATTAGGCCCAGATCACTGACTGTCGCCGAAATTGTGCAAAATCACCCGAATTGGCCTGTTTCCTTCCAATTGCCTTCTTTATTGCCCTGAATCGAAATACAAGAGTAATGAGTCCATTTAAGTGCTAAATAAATGTAAAAGTGTGAATATTAGGGGATAAAAATAGGGTTCCTTTTGGTCTCATCTGTCATCTAATTTTCTTTATCTACCATCCAAATGTCCTCAAAACTAATACACTTTTCATTATCTTCTTCCTCAAGAAGATGAAATAGAGGTATAAGTTTTTGGAATCTACTCCGCAAAGTAGGACGAGTTCTTGTTTTGCAAACTGATCAACTGCTCGTCCACTTAGTGATCATCTTACTTCTAAACATAGTTGAGTGATAAGATAGCGGCCATGGGGAGGGTCAGCAGCACACATCATGTTCTTGGCATCCCACAACTGCTAGTCAACTCTGGGACAGTCAGAGCTTGATATTGTTGAGAACCACGTAAGGTCATGGGGCAAATCCAACCATAAAAAAGTGGAGACGGGAATGGAATTAAGTTCATGGCAAGCTTCCTCAAATAAGAGTTCAGCTGCCCAAGGAATTATGAGACAATGGTGACACCACTCATGGTTGCAGAGATCAAATGATTCAAATCGCAAAAGCTGGTAGTAGTAAGCTTGAGAATCCTGAAGCAAATATCATACAAAGCTTCATTATCAACAACCATACACTCATTTGTGTTTTCTACAAGCTAACGAACAAAAAGGGTTGCATTGTATGGCTCAACCACCGTATCCGAAAACTTTTGGGCTTAGTTTTGGAAGAGTACAAATTTAAATATATACAGTATAAATACATACAAAATAATACAAAATATAAGATTTTGCGCTCTACATATTTGCATTTGTACTCCTTCCAAACTCAGCCTTGGGGACGGGGAGACAAAAAATGCGAGCACCATCCGATTAGGGTACTCTTCCCTTATCTTTGAAATGAGCAAAGTACCCACACCAAAACCAGTTCCTCCACCTAGAGAGTGACAAACTTAAAATTAGGGGTCTTGATCGACAAGTTTTGGATTGGATTCAGTCTGATCCAAATCTTATCAAATCAGATTTGGACAGTCCATTATAATTATTGGATTGGGTCAATCCAAAATAAATTGGTCCATGTTTTTATTGGTTTGAATTGAACCTAAACCAAATTTCCAATAATCCGATCATGAGGTCAAACCCTTGTCTAATTTGAAATTGAACAAAACTAAAGTCGGCATAAAATCACTTTTATGAAAATATTTTTATGAAAGCATTTTACGAGAACACATTTACAAAGCACTTTTATAAAAGTACTTTTATGAAAGCACTTTTACAAA